ACTGTATCCAGCACTGTATGGCATATAATATGAGCTCAATGAATATTACATGAAGGCATGAATTCAAATCTGAGAAATAATGATCAAACACCTTCTATGTGCTAGGCACTGATGTGCTTGGGATACAGTAGTAAACAAAATAAGACAAAGAGTCCTACCTTCACAGAGTTTACATCCTAGTGAGGAACAGAGATGATAGACGACAATTTAGCAACAAGAATGATCCTTTAAAAATGTTGCCATCCTATCACACCTCACAAAGTCTTGTATTGTAAGGGCTCTGATGTTTACTCTGAAGAAAATGGGGAATCATTGCAAGTTTCTGGAAAGAGTAACAGGATCTGATTTAACATTTTTAGAGAACCACTCTAGTGATTCAGAAGAAAACAATATCACTGGAAGCAGTAAGAAGTGGTTGAATTCTGTATATATTCTAAAGATAGGTAAAGACAGAGCCAAAATGGTTTTTCTGTGCATCAGATAAGGAGTGAAGACTTCAGGGTGTCTTCACTTGAGTGACTGAAAGGATGGTGTTGCCATCAACTGAGATGGGAAGAACAGTGGGAGGAGCAGATTTGCTAGGAACACAAAAATCTGTTAGTCTTAGGCAGATTAAATTTAAGATATTTATCAGATACTTGAATGGAGATCTCAGGTAGGAAGTTGGCTACAAGGGTCTGCAACCCAAGAGTCAGGTATGGACTGAAAAAGTGAATTTGGAAATCGTCAGTAGGCATTTAAAGTCATGAAACTGGATGAATCCACCAATGGAGAAAGTGCAGAGAAAGAAGAGGACCAAGGCAGGGAGGATGGACAAGGAAAGATCAGTAATGCAGAATAAAACGAAGATTATAAAGAGTCACTGAAGCCAAGTGAACAAATAAATGAACCACTGAACTAAATTCAATTTCTGGTTTTGCCACAAACTACCTTTTATCTTTGGGCAATTCTGAGTCTTGATTTACCTACATACAGTATAAGGGAATTAAATGGGAATAAAATTGAATATTCTTACCATCTCAAAAATTCCACCAGCCTATCACTTCAGCAGAAAGAGTACCTGGGTTCCATTACCATCTCCAGTTATATACATGCCCTATGCGTTATGGCACACTCTTTAACCCTTCTGGTCTCAGTTACCTCATCTATAAAATGCTGAAAGTGTACTGCATCCCTCAAGTATGAAAAGAAATTAGGTAATTTTTATGAAACTGATGCAAGGCACTAATTCAATAAGTTTTTAAGTTTTTCAACCTTTCTGTTAGAAAATATTGTAGTGATCTGAAGCTGACTTTTGAATCAAGGAAGGAACTTGGAAGATGGCAATATCTATCATTAGATATCTAGACTAGTCTGTGCTAGAAACATTGTTCGGAGAATGCAAGAAGTTCCTGCTTCTTGTCTCATGCTCCACCTGTTCATTTATAGAAAAAGCACTTCTTTTCTTTTGGTACTTAAATTTGGTAGAGTGAGGGAGAAAAAGGACAACTATGACCCCATTTTATAAGGACAGCATTGTAAATATAGCTGATACCTTAAATAACTTCATCAAATTACATTATGTAATATGTTAAACCAACTATGAAATTCACTCTGAATTAAGCAAACTCAATAGAATATTGATTCTGTTTTCAGCACTAGTTCTATATTTTTTAAGTTTATTTATTTATTTGGAGAGGGAGAGAGAGAGAGGGAGCACATGAGCAGGGGAGGGCCAGAGAGAGAGAATCCTAAGCAGGCTCCGCAATGTCAGCGCTAAAGCCTGACAGTGGGCTCGCACTCATGAACCACGAGATCATGACCTGAACCTAAATCAAGAGTTGGTCACTCTTAACTGACTGAGCCATACAGGCGCTTCTCAGCCCCCATTATAAAGTCTTGCACATTTTGGATTTTGGAAAGATTCATATTTTCTAAAAAGAGGAGGTTATATCCATAAAGCAAATCTGATCATGTTGTTACCATATCCATTTAAATTCACTAACTGTTTTGCTTTATTTTTTTTAGTTTTAGAAATAAAATAAGACCAAAATCAAATTTGTCTACACTCAGCTTAATCACAGAATTACAAAGCTGGTCTTTGAAGAGGAAGGGAAAATTTTTACTGCTATTCTTCTACAAGTGACAGGGAGAAGGTTTAACTAGTCACATTACTTTTTATGCATCGGGATAACATTTATTGGCTTAAATGACTCCAAAGAGTTTGCATACAGCCAGCAAACAATAATCTGTTAACTTCTGTCCACAAGTATGCTGGAATAAATTTTTTAAAGTAACCTTTCCAAATTAAGTACAGTTCTTTTTTTTTTTTTTTAAGTTTATTTATTTATTTTGGGAGAGAGGGAGAGCATGCGAGAGCAGTGTAGGGGCAGAGAGGGAGGGAGAGAGAGAATCCCAAGCAGGCACATGCAGAGCCTGACGCAGGCTCGATCTCCTGAATTGTGAGATCATGACCTGAGCCAAAATCAAGAGTCAGATGCTTAATTGACTGAAATACCCAGATGGCTCAATGTAGGTACAGTTCTAAGAAACTGTATCCCAGTAACCAATTTATCTAGCAAAAATGAGCATATACATTAGTAAATTTTTCAAAAGGCCTAACAACTTTTTATTCATTAGGCTTTCTATAGATATGGTACCAACCTCCACACTGCCTCAAAGGACCTGAGGAAACTTTAATCAGCCTGGAGTTTATATATATAAAAAGAAAGATCCAGTACATTTAAAAAATACTTATAATATTACTATCACAACTGTGGGCTCTCTGATCTGTTCTCTTACTTCTGCAGAAACAGTGGTAGTTAGGATAAATCTAGATTTATCATAGAGGACCATTACCGATCCAATCCTCATTTCCTCCACTGCAAAACAAGTTGCCCAAAAGACCACTAAAGTATGGACTGTCTCAAAGCAGGTATTAAGAAGGCTTTTAAATGACCACAGCAAAGTGTTAAAAAATGGCCTGGGTTTTAGGCAAATGGTAAAACTGCTTTTGAATTTTATGAAAATGACTACTGAGTTATCTAAGTTTCTTTAAGTATAGCCATAGCCAAATAGAAAATGGCATTTTAGTTTCCCCAAAAGCATTAACAATGGATCTTAGAACAAGTACAATGGTGTTTCTGCCTATGTGTATGTTATTTAGGAAACAGAACAGTGCAGAAAAGAGTTAATACAGCAGGCCTGGGACTGTTACCTTTAAGGAAGGCTTGCTTGCAAATTTAGCCCTGGGCAGGTATCTGGGAATTGGCATGATAACAGTTCCTCACACTGATATGAAACTTGCCCTAAATAATATGAGTGGTTCACTAAACCTAACTTGTTTGTACAAACAATATGGCGTACGCTGAACATCTATTTTGCTCTGTGACTTTGGGATGTAGGTATGTGCTAGGCAGAGAGTGTATATGTGATCCCAATAAAATCCTTGAGCACTCAGCCTCCAATGAGCTTCCCTGGTAGATGACATCTACCCATGCTGTCACAGTTTGTGGCTGGAGGAATTAAGTTCATCCTTTGTCACTCCACTAGGAAAAGACTCTTGAAAGCTTGGGCCTAGTTTCCTCTAGGCACTAACCCATGAGCCTTTCCTTTTGCTGACAGTACTTTATATCTTTTCTTTGTAAAGTATCTTCTAATGAAGGTACTTGTTAGACTTCATTTCTTGAGTATTACTATATGTTGAAGTCTGTGAGTCTTCCTAGCAAATCACCTAACCTGGGAATTTGGGCTTTAAGGGCCCCTGATACAGAAAGGAATAGCCATTTGGCTGCTAATCAATTACCCTTCATGTGAATGTGAATTTCCTTTCAGGAAAAAGTGAACGGACTCCTTGATCATTCTATATACGTATGTTTACAACTTTATATTTTGTATAGTGTCTCCTTGTACATTTTTGGTGCTCGTTAAAAGTGGAATAATATTTATATATAATAGAGCTCAGAATTTGTTTTAAATTACATAAATCAAGGACTCTAAAGTAATGGTTTCTACAACAGCTGTTACTTGACTGCCTTATTTGCAAGTTATCATTTTTGAAAACAGTATTAACTAATATATTTCTAAGAGTGATGCAGCTAAATGGAGTTGCTATAGAAGCCATATTGATTCTTGTCACAGACTATATGGCACTGAAGTATGGAATTTAAAGACTATGTGCAGAAACTCAGTATATATATTGCTAAGAAATGTCAAATTTAATGCGAAAATTATTAAGACTTTCCTGTCAGCTGTGCATTTCTAAACCTGAACCCTGATATTGCATGAATAATTTGACATTTAAAATACCACCTCCTCCTTTTTTTTAAAGGCAAAATATGTGTAGGAGAGAATCTAACAAGCTGATTGATCATCTTTCTGTGCATTTAAAAATACCAACTTGAGTTAAAATATTTTAATAGAGAAAAATAGCAATCTAATTTTCAAATATATGTATTTCAGTGAATTAATCACTTCATTAAATACATTTTATTTTAATTTTGATGTTACTCCTACCTATAATCTATAGCTTCAGAATGGAAAGATGTAATCAATATAAAATGCTGCATAATAACACACTTTTAAAAAACAGCAAAAATAATTATGATTGAAACATATATTTTAAAATGAAATATCATTCCAATCATTAAAGATTTTAAATACAAATATAGGATTTGTAAGGCCAAAATTTGATTTTTAATGATTTGAACAACTAAAAAATTTAAATCTTAGTTATTCTCCAATTTGGCTTTTATTTACTAACCAGAGAGATGACAACACTTTTGTAATGTGGATAGACATAAATTACAGTTTGGATTTGAGTGTTGAAACAGATGGTTTTATTGGGAATGGTGCATATAACTTTATGTTCACATAGTATAAATCCTAGCGATCAGTTAATAGCAATATACTGCTTTCATGAGTCTACTTTAGGAGCAAAGGGGAAAAAGGAAGAAAATGACTTTATATCCAATATGGGAAGAGTTAATCTGGTACCTTTAGTTAAACACAAGAGTATACCACGCTTTGCGCAGTGGCAGTATTGTAGCCAATGAGCTTTATCTGAGGTGCGATTATTGCTAATTGAAAAACAATAGTATACCAAACATCCTATCATATTTCTAAATAAGAAAAATATCAGATACTGTGATAAAATAAAATTTTATGTTGCCATTCCTTTAATAAGGTGACTAGGATTTAAGCAGTTAGGATTATAGACTATACACAGATTTAAATATTAAGTTAATATTGGAGCCTCACTATTAAAGCTTGATATGAAATAAAAACATATTCATAAACAACTAAATATTTTTTCATTCACCTCGCTTCATGTCATCACGTGGGCATTGTATCATCTCACATCATCATGAGAAGGGTGAGTACTGTACAGGAAGAGTTTGAGAGGGGGACACAGAGACCACACCCACTGCAGCATGCTGTTTACTACAGCAGCCTTATTGTTATAATTGTTCGTTGTTTGTAATCTCTGACTGTCAAACTCTTCCTGTACAGTACTCACCCTTCTCATGATGATGTGAGATGATACAATGCCCACGTGATGACATGAAGCGAGGTGAATGACACAGGTGTTGTGCTGTGGTGGCAGGCTATTACTGAACTTCTGATGCTACCTCAGCAGGAGGATCCTGCTTTGGACTGCAGTTGACTGCAAGTCACTGAAACTGTCGATAAGGGTGGACTACCGCATGCTGCTTTCATTCAAGGATTTAAAGTACTTTAGTTCTCTCAACATTCTTCACATGACCTTTGGCTCATATTCTTTCTTGAGATTTTACATAATCACTTTTCAAATTCTTAAAAAATAAATACCTGCCTTGTATACTGATTTTTCTTAATGTTTTGTTTATCTCAAAAGTTCTTTTACCGTGACTTTAATATTTTGCCGGATGAAAACAATTACAAGGATAAGAAACCTGAGGCCTAGGGCTACAAATGTAACAAGGACAGCAGTGATACCTAATTACTTAAGTATTCCATTCTGCCTTTTTGTATTATTACCTTAGTGTAAATCTTTCAACATCTAGCTTAGCTAAGGTGTACTTATTTTTTATTCTTGACATAGTCGAAGTATAAGTTCTTTAGTTAGTCCGCTAGTTTGTGAATACTGCCATAACATAAAACTTTCATAAAATGAAGGAAAATATAACTGAAAATCTTGTGATCCCTGTAGACTACATATACCCTGGAAGATATGGAACAATACTGTGTTGAGATGTGGATTGTAGGGGGCTAGAGAGACCCATTCTGTTGGTGTCTTGTCTTCACAGCCCAGCTGTGTGGCACCATTATTTAAATTTGGATATTGGTAAAAAAGATAGATTACCAAATTAGGGACATTCAGGGAACCTTCTGAATAGGTGATATTATAAATATTAAGTTCATGGGTTGGAGGGTCAGCTTTTACACTAAATGTAAAGTGTGAATCTGGCTGAGGTATAAAGAAATGGAGACTTTCCCTCTATCTCCTTCCAGATTCTCTAGGTTGATCAGGGAATTCTCTGCCTTAGAAGTTCACAAAACAGACAAAAAGTCAACTACATCACATCTCAGCATAATGTTATGTCAAGATTGATGCTCTATTTCCTGGTCATATTCTAAATGGGGCTCTGTGATCTAAAGGGGAAAAAAAGAGATAAATTAATGGAGCGTACCACATGTAAGAATAGGAAAAAGGAAAAAATGGGAAAATATCCCTTCCTATAAACTCTATGAAAATGTATGAAAGGTCTTTTTGGAATTTTTAAAAGCCTATTCTTTATTTTTAGTTTATTTATTTATTTGAGAGAGAGACAGACAGACAGACAGACCGACTGAGAGAAAATCCAAGCAGGCTCTATTCACAGAGCCCAGTGAGGGGCTTAACCCCAAGAACTGCAAGATAATGACCTGAGGTGAAATCAAGTATTGGATGCTTAACCAACTGAGCCACCCAGATGCCTGGACTGTAGTAATTTTTTTTTTTTTAAATGTTTTATTTATTTCTAGGAGAGAGAGAGAGAGACAGCGTGAGCAGGGGAGGGTCAGAGAGAGAGGGAGTCACAGACTGAAACAGGCTCCAGGCTCTGAGCTGGCAGTCAGCACAGAGCCCGACGTGGGGCTCGAACCCACGAACCGCGAGATCATGACCCGAGCGAAAGTCAGACGCTTAAGCAACTACGCCACCCGGGCGCCCCAGGACTGTAGTAATTTTTTAAAAAGTGTATGCTAAGGCAAGAATGAATGGTTTGTTTATATACATTATTAATGCATTTATAGGGATTAAAAATACAAAAGAAGGAAGGTTTATGGAATAATTACAAAATGTAAAATACTATGATATAGTGAATCTACTCATGCTAAAAAGTTATTTCCATATTTGCTAAAGATCAATGGCAATTATAATCACAATCAACATGAACAATTATACAAATATCATTTCTCTGAATTTCGATTTTATAAAGGCTTATCTATTTTGTGTTAACCTCTAATTTTGTGGTGTTTGACATAATTCAAACAAGTTTCTCCTGAAAAAACAAGGGGATATAAAAATAGCCCCCAAAACTCCTCTCCAAATAGCTACCCACATGAAATAACTAACAATTTTTACTTATTTAAAGAAATACTGGGAATGAGAGGTATGATCCTGTATTTTATAAATGATAAAAAAGAAAACTGCTCTATCTTTTTGCTAATTCGTTTGTAAAACTGCCTCATTTTCTTAAGAAACTTAAATGACTTAATGCTTACTTTGTTACCTTAAATGAATACTAGGTACCAAGACAGCAACTGTGGATGTTTTTGTATTTTTCCCAATCTAGGGTAATTATTCTGATGACATCAAATGGTTTTAATCTACAAATCATACACTTCATTATAGAAATAATGAATAATAGAGGAATTATAAAATATATTACTTACCTTTCCAGAAACAATCTTTTCATAAATCTGAATTGGTTGGTCTGCAAAGAATGGGGGGTAGCCAGCTGCCATTTCATAGATTAACACTCCTAATGCCCACCAGTCCACCGCCTTATTGTAGCCCTAAGATAAACCAGTGGCAAACGTCAATTATTACTTAATCTGCTCAGAAGGAATGAAGTCATAGATGATGTCAAAATGATATTCACGCATATGAAATTTGTTAGAGAGCAATTGCTGAGCAGCTATTCAGGATAGAATAAAAAATGAACAAAATGTGTCAGATCACATTTGAATTAAACAACAGAGAAAATTTCCAGATATTGGATATATTCCAATCATACTGGAATTGGAAATATTATTAAATCTTATTCCTAAAATCATTAAGAATATTGTAGACAATAAATATCCCCTAATTAATTGGGATAATTTAGTTGTTGCTCAACAGTAGGGAGGGAGGTGCTACATTAACTTTTCAAGTCCATTCTAGGTCCATAACCTTATAAATCAGGTTTTCTAGAGCATTCATAGAAAGGCCAAAGGTTTTTAAACAAAATCGTAGATACTGGACTTCATAGTAAACAGTGGAGTTGACTTCAAAATACTCTCTATTGTTGGCGTTAGGAGGGTGATTATACTAGTGGCATTCTCATCCACTTCACAGGATCTTAATGAAAGCTACAAGTTTAATTTGGATCCTAATAAATGTAAACATTTGTTTACTTTAGCTATTCTACTGTCTTCTCATCTCTAAAAGGTATACAGAAAAGATAACTAATTCATGAGGTTTTTGTTAGGACTTTATCAAATAAAAGGAAATAATGTACATAGAAGTACATTGTAAACCAAATGTATAGTTCTAAAGTTATTTTTGTTTTTTTCCATACTACTAAACTTGCTAAAATTAAGAACTAGCAGTATTTATAAAAAAATAAAAATAAAATATTAACGTGTTTATATAAAGTTTGTTATCAAATATGATCAATGTCAGCTGGCACAGAAGATTATGGAAAAAAACTCAACTTGATCATGGAGAGAAATGATCTGAGTTTTTGCCAGATCTTTTGGTCTGCCCTCAAATTACCTTCACCACTCCCCACACTCCAAAGTTTTGTCAAAATTTTAGCTTTACAAATCATTTAATTTTCAAATTATTAGCGAAAATCTAATATAGAGATTTTTTTCTGCTTCTGTATGTTTTTTTATAGGGAGACTAGTTTAAGATGAATAGCACTTTGTTTTGCTAATAGAAATGGGCATTAACTATACTTTAATTCTTTTAATTTAAGTCCTAGTCACTAGTAATGTCATTCATTATATTTTTAGTACAGTGAAAGCACATGATGTTGAGCTGGATCCTTTTACTAAGCTTTGGTTTCTGTATTTGAGATTATGTGCTAATCTTTATTAAAAAAATATGCCAGATACTTTTAATACCCTAATATATCTCTAGGTATAGAAAATTAAAACAAATCAGTAAGAAAAACTAAAATAGATAAATGAGCAAAGGACATGAACTAATGACTCACACACACACAAAACCCACCAAATGTCTGTAGAGCATTAAAAAAATCTAATAACCAAAGATATAAGACTTAAAATAATGAAATACCATTTATTGTCTATTAAATTAGTCATTATTTTATTATTTAAGTTTATTTATTTATTTTGAGAGAGAGAGCAAGCAGGGGAAGAGAAGGAGTAGAGAGAGGGAGGGAGAGAATCTCAAGCAGGCTCTGTGCCTTCAGGGCAGAGCCTGATGTGGAGCTCAAACTCATGAACCTTGTGATCACGACCTGAGCCAAAATCAAGAGTCAGATGCTTAACTGACTGAGCCACCCAGGCGCCTCCTTAGTAATGATTTTGAAAGTAAGAATATCTAATGCTGGATACAGTGTGACGAAGTAGTCATGCTCATACTGCTAGTAGGAGTAGAAAATGCTACAATCTTTTTGAAAAGCACTTTGGCAATATTTATTGAGAGACTAAAAATGTTCATACCCGTTGTCCCAGTAATTCTACTTCTGGGAATCTGTCCTGAAAAAATAATTTGAAATGCATAAAAACCTTTATGTACAAAATGTTTATGTTTATCACAGTTATTTATAATGACAAAAAAATTAAAGAAAAAAGAAAAAGGGATGACTTAAATGTTTAGCTATAGAATAATGGCAAAATACTTTATGATACATTTGCAAATAAGCCATTAGAATGTTTGCATGCTTATTAGCATTCAAGG